ACATTGGTGAATGCCACAAATTCTCCTAAATCACTCGTACGCACAACTTAAGAACAAATCTGTGTGTACGAACGGTTCTTGCATGAGGCCCATTGTTCTGTTGCATCATGATCCAGTTTGCTCCACGCTTCAGGTGTCTGACAGATGGCCTCATATTTGACTCTAGAATCCTTAAGTTTATAGTCGACTCAACAACTGCGAGGAGCCCAAATCATCAACCCTCTACCACCATGCTGACCGTATCTTACCAATAAATCTAAAATTTCTACAACACAGGCTAATTTCTCTCTCAGATCAGCCATGTACAAACGCTGTTTCAAATCAAAGAGAATAAAAAAGTGACTCACCCTCACTGTTTACATCACTGAGGTCTAGAAGTAGTACAGCTGGAACACTTGGACCTGCAGCAAACAAGATCAGATAGATTCAGAAAATAAAAAACTAACACTGATAATAAACTGTCTGGTTTAAGTTTTATATGTAGAAATAAAAATAAAATAGAAATAAAAGTTCATATTAAACACCACTTCCTATGGATATTTGTCCCTGCAAAACGTAACAGCTGCACCTTATTATTTTCAGTTATTTATGTAAAAAACACTTTTTGCATTAATATCTGTTTCCTGGTCGTGACCTAGTTCTATCCAAGTGTTTCTCAGTATTCATCAGAATTTCTCCTAATTTACCATAAGGTGAAGGCAGACGATGAAGTTGTGTCTGTGTGTTTGTTGCTTAGAAAAAACATTTGATGAATCAGAGGAAGGATTTTAATGAAACTCTCAGGAAGTTGTTACTGAATGAACATCTACAACTGAATTACTCAGTCCAGTCACAGTGAGTTGTCACAACAAACTGACTAGATACTGTAGTGGCATATATGACCCCCGCATGTACACAAAGCACCAGTGCACCAGAACTCGGAACTCACCAGAACAGATTTATTGTTTTGGGTGGGGGTCTGGAGGGGTTGGGGGTGCTCATTGGTGGGCCTGATGGATAGCCCTACTTTAGAGCTAAATAACAACAATAAAATGCATTAATAAAATATGAAGCTCCTATGTTGAATAGGTTTTGAGGTATAAGCATTTTTTTTGTCCAGACACCCCCTTTTCAGGTGAAGCCCCCCCTCCCCAAATATGGGGTCTATCAGAAAACCTTTGGCTGGATCAACGTAGGTCGGACACATCGTCAGTCCTGACAAATTTTATGTTGATTGGTGCAGCTGTTTTTGTGCTACAGTTGACCAAGTATCACTTAAAACATCTCACATGCAGGGGTCATAACAATAGCAAATAAAGAAATGTCTCTAACTTAGTTTTACAGAAACTGAACTAAAGCTGGGTCTGGTAGAAGCTGAGAATAATTCTTAACAAAATACTCAGAGAAGTAACGAAACATCCTGCAATATCCTGTGAAGCTGCGCATAATTGCTGAATAAAATGCTAAGGATTAATGAAAACATTAGGGAAGAAGTTTTTTAAACAGTAAATAAAAATAATTAAATGAATGCTAGGAATTATTTTACAAAAATAAAACTTTTCTTTTATATGAAAAGATTTGTATCGTCTCTTGAGCTAACATTTTCATTTTTTGCCTTTATTTTGAAACTTCTCCGTCTGTCTTTTTTATTATTATTATTTTTTAAATTTCGTTCTGTCTAACCTCGACAGTGCAGGATGGCGTGCTGAGCATCAGGACTGACATCGGCGCTGAAGAACGTGCACGCCTCCTTCAGCCCACAGGTGAGGCACTGCCTTGGAAAGGAGCCTACAGTCGACACGCTGTAAAAATATACAAATATATAAATAGGACTCAAGGACAAAAAGCTCCGTCTCCTCACAAGTAATGTTAAAATTTGATCGGAATGACCTGTAGAGGTGTCTCTGCTCTGCAGCTTCCTCGGTGCTCAGAAAGAATCTGTGAGCAAAAAAAGCAGAGCAGCTAAAATAGGACAAGGTCATACATCCATTAAAACCCACCTGATGGGAGACAGACACTTAAATACTTTACTTCCTGTAGAATAATAATCCTGAGTGTCCTTATGCTGTCCTTACAGCAGAAACAAACCAAAGACTGTGCCCGCCACTTGTCATGACACAGTTTTAATTCAAGATGGCTGCCAAAGCCACATCATGCCAGACATATTAACTCCAAGTGTAAGAGTCTCAGCTACAACCACATAAACTTTATTCTGTCATTTTCAGTAAGGTTTAGCCTTTTCTTTGGTTGATTAGCTGTTGTAGCCGTCTTGAAGCAGACTGAATTTATAGTTGAATATCTAATTATTTTTAAACAGCAGCCAAGTCTAAAATCAAAAGAAAAACCTTCAGAAAGTCTGAAAACTGTTGATTGTGAGTTTGCTGTGGCAGCCATCTTTGATTTAAAGATGGAAACAAGGGAGCAGTTGATCACACTGATAACTGATTTAGAGAAACCGTACTTTCTGTAAAAAATGTAGCGTGATGGTAAAGAACTTTGCAGAAATTAATTCAAGAATAAGTTAAATGAATTGCTAAAAGTAATAACTAAATCAACAGCTAATATCTATTAGTATAGCTAAAAGCTAAATTAGCTAAATAGTAGCTAAATGCTAAATTAAACAATTAAGTAGATAAAATATTAACGCAAAACTTTACTTACTTTCTAAAGCTTCAATTAGCAAAACAGCTGCTAAAATTAAAAATTAACAAAGCAATAGCTAAATGTTAAAGTTAGCAATTAAGGTAGTTAAAATATTATTAAAGCAAAAGAGTAGCTAAAAGCCACTTGTAGCAAAACAATAGCTACAACCAAAACTGTAGCTGAAACTAATTTTAGCAAGACTATCTAAAAGCTTAAACTCATTAAACCATAGTATAGCTAAAACTGGAAAAGGTGAAGCTAAATGTTTAAATTAGCTAAACAGTTGCTAAAAACAAATTCTCAAAATTGTAGATAAAAGGTACATTAGCAAAAAAAAGGTAGTTAAAAGATAAAATTAGCAAGGCAGTAGAAGAAAGCCCAAATGTGTAGAAGATAAAACTATCTGATAAACTGAAGTTTGTAAGAAGGAAGTTTCTAAAGGAGTTGAGGAATGTTTGTGTCTTTGAAGAAAATGCCAACAACGTTACAAAAATGTCATAGCACACTTTTCCCAACTGAGCTGAACATGTGCATATGGTTAAATTAGCATAAATAATGTCAAAGTAATTTTTCACTTCACTGCAGAAACTTTACAGAACTGGAAAATTGTGCTGACTCAGCACTTGCACTATAACAACCAATTAGTTGTTTATAGATCTAACAATTCATTTTTACCGATAACATTCTTTGAATGTACTTGCGTATATTTCCAAAACTTTTTTTTCCCCAAAATTGTGATTATGCTTTTTTTTTCTGTGTGAAACTGCTTGCAAGTACGTGCCAACATGAGGACAAAAATATTCCATAAATATATTGGTTCAAACTTGAGATTCCCAGACTGTAATGAAACTTACATGATGTTGTTGTTTTCATCATAACTGAGAAGTTTGGTCACCTCCCAGGTTCCTGACGTTAGGTGTCGAACTTCACCCTGATAGAGAAAAATTCCGTTATTTTTGTTTTATGTACAAACTTTAGAAAACGTTGCCTTCCTGTAGACTGGAAGGCCGGACCCCCTCATGTAATCACAAAGACACAAGAGGGCACTGTGCTGCTTTTGTTTGCTCAGCATAAAAAAAAAAGATTGAGTTTGGGTTAATTATTCATCATTTACAACTGTAATCACAGGTTTCCATTCACTCATCACGGGTATAAATGTGATGTTAATTTTGATATTTTAATGAATTGTTTGGATTATTGTTTTCCAGGGTGGAACAATTGTACAGCACAAGACCTTTTTAGGAATTTTTTTAATTAAACAAGTTTCCATTTTTTGTATTTCTCAGATAGAAACAGGCTCAAATTTAAACACATATCCACAAAAATCTGTCAACAAGTGGTGCTGAAGATTCTCGAAGTCCTAACTTGATAAGGGCTGTTAACTTCTCGTTAGTGATCATGACTGACTGCAGCTGATTATTCCTCTTTGCCAGCATTAAAGGGCTTAATTCACACAACTCATAATTAGGATGTTCAGGAACCACCCAGGTTCAAACCTACCATGAACTGGCATCTATCAGAACCCTGTCCAACAGTAGGCCAGATTTACATCATCCTGAAGACCAAAACAAAGCTCCGTTTAAATCTGAACATAGACAAACTAAATGTCTTCTGGAGAAACGTGTGCTGGTTGAGATTGAGCTGTTTGGACACAATGGCTAGACATTTGTTTGGTGTGTTAAAAACGAGGCTTTAAAAGGGATCCACCACTACTTGTAACATTAGACATTATTTGATAAACATTTATTTAAACTGTAAGACAAAGACTGCAAAAATACTGTACGCCATTGAATTTTTATACATTATTTTAAAAATATTGTCACATGGAAGGCGCCATTTTATTAATGGCATGTTCACTCGGTTTTCTGTGTGAGTTTTTATCCACTCTGAAGGTTAATCTTGGACAATATCTGACGATCTGCCCTGTTCAATGAAACCAGAGAGCGTTGACAGAGAGGAGAAGGTAGAAATGACTCAGTCTGTAACTGAAAATATGGATGGAGGACAACAGAGCTGCTTCATGGAAGAAGAACCTCAGCTTAGCCTGTTAGCTTCCGCGTTAGCACCGAGCTAACTCTGGAACTAATGCCAAATTATTAATGAATACGTGGCATTAGTTTATGCATGGCTAACACTATATCATTAGCTTGGATGCTAACACTTTATCGCCATATGTAATTTATGTTCAGCAGAGGATTTTCAGAAAAAAGCAGCAGATTATAGTAATCATGCTCTGAATGGGATTTTACAAAGACTCCCAACTATAAAACTTAGATCCCGCCTTCAGATTGATCATTTCTGCTGAGAGGGGCCACGAGAGAGGAAATCGGTTTCAGTCACCTTCTGAGTGAACATGGTGATGTGGTGGAAGTCTCCATGACCTCCCTGTTTGATGGGCAGAGTGAGGAAAAACCTGCTCGAGTCCTCAGAGAACAGCGGTTCTTCTCTCTGTGGGGACAGACATGAAGGTGACACGCTTACAGAAAAATGTATCTAACGAAGGTGAAAATAGATGCTGCATTAGAAAATAGTGCAAGTGTCTTTTAAAATAGCAAATTTAAATACAATAATGAAAATGTTATACATTTGCGGATTTGCTTTAACACAAACACCTTCAGCTTTTGCTTCAGTTCTCCATTATATATTTTTACCATTAAAAAGTCCTATTATTCCAACTGTGGATCATTTTTCTGCTACATTTGACAAAATCTGTACACACAACATTTTTTTATATTCAACAAACAGCAAAAAAGCTGAAATAGTTTATTTGCAGAAAAAGGAAACACATTTTTTTCTTAAATGACAATAATTTTAACACCTTCATCACTGTCAAAGATTGAGATGTGTTACCTGTCTGGAGAGCCAGGTCTCTGATGATTCCTCGTGTCTCTGAAGAAAAAAAAAACAACTGAGTAGAAATGTGTTACAGATATCACATTTTGTTTAAGACAGTTTTTAAAAAATAAATATACTTTACTAAACAAACAAATCAGTAGTTATGTAGAACCCAAGTTCAACAAGTTCCAATCTGTTTTGTATGTGTGTGTTATCCCTTGGTAGTAAAGGTGATTGATTTTGGTTTTGCCTGTGTATGTGTGTGATTGTCCACTGCATCTACAAATGAATAAGTCTGAGTCAACCTGATTCGAGATGAAAAAGAAGGCCGTGCGTAAGGACGCAGTGGCTCTAGGCTTCTTGACTCAGTGCTTTTTATTGTGTTTTATTATGCATTGTGTGTGCACGAGTGTCATACACTCAAGCCGACTTTAAAACCATCGGGATTATGTGTCACATGGAGATTGTGAGCGGGTTTCAGCAGTCTCATAATATCCCAGAGGACACTGCCAGAACACCGGGCTCTCCCTGGCTTCTTTACGAGCTGGTAAGGAAAAGGCGACACCGGCGCAGGCATCGTAAACAAAAGAGAGGTCGCAGAGCTGGCTCATGATCCAAAACAAATTGCCAGTTCCGAGCACCTTCCTTGCCAACATGAGGTCTGTTATTCATAAAAAAAGACCAACTGGAAGCTAACAACAGGATACGGAGCTGCTGTGCGATCATCTTAACAGAACTTTGGTTACATCTGCTCAGCTCTATGCCGCTGTTCAGCTAACTGGACGGAGCCTGCACCGCCATGACAGGAACACTACCAATGGATAAGGTGAGAGGCTCAGTTATCCAGGAGAGACTCAAGGTAGAGCCGCTGCTCCTCCACATCAAGAGCAGCCAGTTTAGGTGGTATGGATATCTGAGAAGGATGCCTCCTGGACACCTCCCAAGGGAGGTGCATGCATGTCTGACTAGGAGACCCTAGATGGATGGATGGATGGATGGATGGATGGATGGATGCAGTGGTGTGCACCAGCCCGCTAAAGCCCAAATCCGCTAATTGCAGACCTAAATATTTCATTTGCGCTTTAGCGGACTTACTAATTATTATAATTCATAAGCGGATATGCGCTTTCTAAAATTAAAATGCAGTACCGCTAATAATTAATTATCTACCAGTCATCATTATCTTGAACAGCAGAAGGTATGGCTGTCAATGAATCACAACACACGTGATCTATCCAACAGCACCACTCCCAGATAAACACACTTATTGTGAAGGTATACATCCTTGCTGACTGTCGCTTTGAGCCACGGTTCTGATTTCTCACAATGCTTTGTGTCTGCTTACGTAGCAGGAAGGCTACAGCAAAAACAGTAAACATTTGTAATCTACACAAAAAATATTGTATGTATTGATTTATTGTACTTTACAATCGGAGCTCCTTTTTTTATTAAAAAAAAAAATAAAGTTTAAAACCTGGGGGTCAAAAGCAATTGGCCAACAGTTAGAGACTCAGAAATGACTTAAAGATGTTATGCTGGTGTAGACTGACATCTAGTGGTCAACTGGTGCAACTACATGGAAAACGTCTCAGTAATCCAGGTAGAAAAAAAAATCTAAAAGAAAAAATAAATAGGTCCTCTGGGTGGGTTCTTCTTTAGTGAAACGTTTCGTCTCACCTCCAAAAGACTTCTTCAGTCTGATGAGTTTCAGGTGAACTGGGAAACTTTAAAATCCAGTGGAAACATGAAAAACTTTAAAATCCAAGCTCTTATTTTGAAGGGAATATACTAGTTTCCTGTTCTCTGTGCTTTCGTTTCCCGTCAGTCCGTCCTGTACCGAGAATGCATCGCTTCAGTTTTCCAAATAAACAGCTTTAAAATTACTTTATTGATGCTTCTTTAATGAAAAATCAACAACAAACAAAAGAAAAAGACAAAGAAGCAGCCAAACTACCAATCCTCAACAACGTTTTAATTTTTACACCAGGAGCCAAAGTACTGTTACAGGTAATCAGATCCCCAGCAATCAGCGGTTGTAGGATTAAGCTGTACCAGAGTTCATGCACCACTAGATGGCAGTGTTGTGCATATTGTACATGAATTGTCAGCTAGTAAGTGTCAAATTGAACATATGCTTTAAAATTAGCTTCTGCTAATTTTTCTATGACATACTGTATTTTTCGGACTATAAGCCGCGACTTTTTTCCTGAACTTTGAACCATGCGGCTTATAGTCCGGTGCGGCTTATATGTGGATTTTTTTCTTCAGCCACCAGGGGGCTCTTATGCTCCATTTGCTTCAAAAAAGGAAGGAAAAAAAAAGAAAAAAGCGATCGCTTCAAGAGCCTACTGTTGACCAGGAAGCAGCGATTTAAAGATAGTCAATGGCCAAAAACTCATAAAAGGGGATAAAACAGACATTTTTCTCAGTGGAATCTGACTGAAAAACTTTGGAGCTTAATCCAGGACCAGTTTGTGGATAAACGTCAAGTGAAGAGCTGCTGACTTTTTTTTTCTGCATTGCACTCCCCGGGGAAGGAATCCCATGCAGTGACGTATGCTGGAGCGGGAGGGCTTTCCCAGCTGCTAGGCTCAGGGTTTCTCGAGGGAACTGTGAAAGGTCAGTGCGAAAACAAATGCCGAACAATCACGTGACGGTGCGTCGACCAGTCGACAGCCGAGCGACCATACTGCCAGCTTAGCTGGAGGTGTAGCGCCATTTTGTTTTAGCAAGTAGCAGACACGACATGACGGATCTTCGACAGACACGATATTGGACAGTATGCGGGCCCACATCACGGATTCGGTGAAAGCAGCCATCAAGAAAACAAACTCAATTCCTGCTGTTTTTCCTGGAGGTACAACAAAGTTTTTGCAACCCCTGGACATCAGTGTGAATCGTGCATTTAAAGCAGCACTCAGGGCTGAATGGGAGGCTTGGATGACTGACGGGGATAAATCATTCACAAAAACTGGCCGAATGTGAAGAGCGTCATTTCCTGATGTCTGCCAGTAGATCCTAACAGCGTGGAGCAGAGTGAATGAGTCCACCATCACCAATGGGTTCCTAAAGGCTGGACTGCTACGTGAAGAGGGCACTACAGCTTCAGAGTCAGCGTTACCCCGGGAGGACAGCGACACAGAAAGTAACACTGAACAGATACCGCTGTGTGACGCAGCTTTTCTCAGCTTGTTTGACTCCGACAATGAAGAGGAGGACTTCGATGGTTTCAGTGCACTGGAGGAAGATGAATGAGACGTTTTGTTGGACCAGAAATGGTTAAAGAAAACTACCAAAATAAGGTCAGTTAAATGAACCATATTCCTCCGAACTTTAATTCTTAAAGGTTTGCTTTTTATGTTTTGATGTTGAATTCACTTTTTTGACGACAAATTTGGGTGTACTTTTTTTTATGTTGGGGGTGCGGCTTATGGTAAATGGTAAATGGTACTGAACTTATAGAGCGCTTTTCAAGTCCCTCCGGACCCCAAAGCGCTTTACACTAACAGACATTCACCCATTCACACTCACATTCACACACTGATGATGGCAAACTACACTGTAGCCACAGCTGCCCTGGGGCACACTGACAGAGGTGGGGCTGCCATACATCGGCGCCACCGGACCCTCTGACCACCATCAGTAGGCAAGGTGGGTGAAGTGTCTTGCCCAAGGACACAACGACTGAGACGGCTGGACGGGGGATCTTATAGTCCGGTGCGGCTTATATGTTAATGTTCGCGGGTTTTTTTTTTTTTTAAATGGCGGGTGCGGCTTACAGTCCAGTGCGGCTTATAGTCCGAAAAATACGGTAAGTGTTTTTGAAGTTGCGGACCTAAATATTTTCATAAGCGCTTTAGAAATTGCGGAGCTAATTTTTGGACTAGCGCTGCCCACCACTGGATGGATGGATGGTAATGCTGAACATTTTGATATGAAACGGCTAAAAAAGCAAAAAGCAAGCAGAAGTAGATAGCCAAAAACTTAGCCAAAAAAAAAGTATTGATGCTGACTCAAAGTTCATACGATGAGAAGTACCAACCTGGTGACAGACTCCAGCGGTTGCGTCGCACACCGTCAGTAGAGAGGCATTCTGGGAACGGATGAGCCACCGAACGACAAGGTGTTTGTTACTGATCCACTTCACCATTGTGACATAGAAATTCCTGCAGATGGGAGAACGGGATAGGAGGTTTTTGTGTTGTGTTTTCACGCCGTGCATCTATATCAACTGGTGTGTGTTGTTACCTGAGCCTCAGCTGATGTGGCGGCTGCAGCTCCTGAGTGTGAGTCGTACCGAGCAGGTTGACCACCGTCAGCTTAATGGAAGGGTTTGTCTGACCAACCTGAAACAAACAGACAAAATATTATATACATATTAATTTTATATTTAATTAAAAATACTAGCATTCCCTGATGGAATGCATTTACTTGTATGACCAAGATGTAAACTAAAATCTTACAATGAGCACAGTGTGATTTAATGATGACACCCAGCTACCATCACACTAAATTTGAGCTCAATATCTGTAAAATTCACTGAGTAATAGCCATTTTCCTGTTAGATAAGGTCACTTAGCTGACGAGGCCATCTTGGCTTTAAAGGTTAATCTATTAAATAGATCATTATGAATCCAATCATTACTTTCTGAAAACTTAATTGAAATCTGAGGCTCCCAATGCATGAGCACCCTGATTACTAATCAGTTATTTTAATCTTCCTCTTATATCAAGATGTTTGTCTTGTTACTTTCTTTGTACCTCCATCAAACTGTGATTTGGTCAGGAATAGTGTGGTAGCAGTTATGGTTGACACACATTACAGCAAATTTTGCATAAAGCTGTGAGTACTTGTCAGCCTCACCATAGGGTAGGGGTATTGTAGGCCTCGGGGGTAGGTGCTGCCAGTGAACTGTGCCAGAACCATGTTGGGCACCAGGCTGTCATTGATGGTGAGGAATGCCAGTCGCTCTCCATCGGGTGACCACCAGTGAGCCAGGTGTGAGCCCAGGATCTCCTCTGATGAGACAAAACCACTTCATTAATCATTTTCTGATGTTCCGTAGCATTACTGATCTACAACCTCAATTCTGACATTGATGGGGTGTTGTGTATATTTTAAATAAAAACAGAATGGAATGATTTGTAATTGGTCCATCCAATTAAAACGAGTCTCGAACATCGACTCCAAAATTGATAAGGGAAACAAAATTTGAAAATCTAAAGCCGCTCGTTAATGACAACTACGGAAGTAGAAACTGTCTAAATTAACCGAGTCATGATTGAAGAAATAAGTAATTTATGTGGAAATTGAGGCCTTCCTTAAAGAAGCCCTCTTTAGTCTCTAATAGATATAGACACTTATATCTACCCCTTAGTTAAAGCAAAAGGCACTTTAACTATTACTTTTAGCTTATCTGAAACATGATAGCTAACCACAGAGACATACATAGGTTTAACCTAAAACCACATAAATGCATGACACATAGGTTTAGCCTAAAAGTAAAATCCCAACTTAAGGTT